TATGTGTGTGTGTGTGTGTGTGTGTGTGTTGGGGCAGTGAGGAGCAATGTGGTGTGGGATGCCTGGATGACCAACCAGACCCTATCACAGACTGCTTGGTGCCCATAACACTGAACTGATTTTAAAAAGTACTTGATTTTTCCAGATATGATTTTGAACTGGTAGATTTAAACTGGCTTAACAGGCTTGTATGTGTATGTCAGCTTCTAGATGAAGCCACATTTAAACTGTTCTAGATGTGGTGTGTCCATGCCCTTAGTGTGAATCACACTGAGTCAAAGTAGAATAATATCAGGAACATGTTAAAGATCATATTCTGTCCTCCTTCCCTGACCTTGGGGATGATGAGAACTGAGGAAATGTAGCAAGGAGGTTTACTTGCTACCACCTCTGTGCTTTGTTTTTTTTATGTGCGTGTCTTACCTCAGGCCACTCAGTTCCATTAATGTTTTAGCCAGTTTCACTGAGGGGCTCCCTTCTGCTGAGTTGTATCTGAAGGATGGGGAAGGTGGCTACTGTCCAGTCAAAACAATTCTTATTTGGGTTTTAGTTTCAAAGGGAAACCTTCCCATTGCCCCTATGTTCTATAGAAACCTTGGTGTAGGATCCTCCTCCCATCTGTATCCTTGAGAGGTTTGTGGATCCAGGAGTTCATCTGGTTTTATGGAACCTAAATATGGGGCTTTGGTCCTGGGGAGTGATTTGCAAGGGGGAGGGAAGGAGAAACCCAAAGGACAGTGGCCTAGGCACATTCCTGCCCTCAGCCTTGTCCTGGTGCTTGGCAGATCTTCTCTCCCAAGGGGATGGGACCATAAAGCAGCTCAGTGCATCACCCCCATAACCCCTGCTGCTACCCATGCCCCCAGTGCAGTGAGCCTCTAGCAGTGTGCTGACACCTTTCTCTTCCTGTTTCCACAGCAGCTGGACTCTCCCCAGCAGGAGGAGGGGCTGCAGAGTGCCCTGAACACCATCAGCCAGGAACTGCAGAAGCTTCTTGACATCCACTGGCTGGCACCCATCATCAATTCTGCTGAGGAGGTGGGTGTGTGGGGCTGTCGGGGGGTGGTTTGGGGAGACCCTAAGAAGAACATGAGATGCTGCTCTGGGTCAGACCCCAGTTCCAACCCAGTGCCCTGCATCTCCCAGTGCTAAGGGAAAGGGTCTTTATACAGAACCCAGCCAAACTGACCTGTCCCCTGTGCCCCAGTGAGCACCCTAACCCATTACCCTTTCTTCCTGCTTTGGGCCCCAGGAGAGCTCGGGGAGTACCAACAAGGGCAGTCTCAAGTTACGGATTAACATTCCCAAGCCCAAGAAGGACAAGGAGAAGGTTCAGAAGCTGAAACCCAGCAGTGTCATCCCAGGTAAACCTCCCCCCAGGGCTGGTGGGCTGGGGCAGCAGCTATCTCCAGCCCTGTGTTCCGAGTGCCAGTGTGCTCTTTGACCTGCCTTTCCTGACGAGCACTGCAGCCACAGAGCAAAGGCTTGGAGCACTTAGCACACAGACATGGGCAGACTGAAAACCTGCCTAGAAAAATGCCGGACATCTCACCAGCCAGGTAGGCTAAACACAGAGTAGTGCCAGAAAACAGAGGTTTTGATGTCATGGGCCAGCAGGGTGGGGCACAGCTCACAGCCTCTTATGAGGATGAGGATGTCACAGCACAGGGGAGTTAGGGAAAATGTGCCTGCAGGGGGGATTGTTCAAAATGCCTATTGGATTTAGGAGCACATCCTGATATTACCCAATGGGCTGTGGGCTCCTACATCCCTTGGGTTATTTTGAAACTCTTCTCCTAGATTTGTGGCAGCTTTGCAGCCAGACACCTTGCTGAGTTCCCCTGCCTCAGCTGCCTCTCTGTGCCCAGGCCTTGCTGTCTTTGTGCTCAGACAGGGGCATCCATGCTCTACTGGTCCCTTTCCCTCTTTTCTGTTTTCATCTGTTGCCCCTGCACCAAGCAATGGTCTGGAGAGATCAGGGCATCCTCTTGTCTTTCTCCTTTAGCCCCAGTTTAAGGGGAATTAAAGCCTCAGCCCTGTCTTTTCTAGGCAGTCTACATGTGGGTGTGTTTTTTGCTGGGGAATATTTTCAGAAGCATGAGTCTCTTCGATTGGAGCTGATAGGATGCAGTGCTCTGCTCCCTGAAGAGCTCTCTCTGCCCCCTCTCTCTCCACACACATAGGTCTCTTCATGGGTTTGGTTTCCCCATCCCTGTGTTAACATGGGTCCCAGGTGGCAGAGCAGCTTTGTGCTGCAGGACCCTGATACCACACTACCCTTCCCAGCCAGGTGTGCCTGGATGCAGCTTGCATGTTTGGTTTTACTCTTCAATCCAGGTGCCCCCACAGTCCAGAAGGGCCAGTGCCTAGTGTGCTGTTCTGGCCAGTGTTTGTCCCAGTGGTGTCTGTCATATTCTGTTCAGGATGAACATAAGTGTGCAGTAAAAAAATACGCATTTAACTCAACTGACAGAAAAACACTACAGAGAAAGACATTTTTAAGGTTCATCTCTTCCTGTCCCTTTGAATTCAGCCCATAATGCATATTTCTAAAACCTCCAAAACCAGGGAAGGACAGTCTTAATGTTCCCGTTGCTTGTAAGTAACACAAGCCATGCATAATTGCCCCCATCCCAGTATTTTTCTCACTAAAATGCAATAGCCTGCAATCTGTGCTTTCAGCTGGAAAGGAGCATGGTTGTATCTTGTTCCTTGTTGGCTCTATGAGGCTAATGCTGCCCTTCTGCAGGCAGGTAGTTTTGGAGCGATCATAGAGCTCTGGTGCTCCAGTCCTACTGGAGTGGACCAGAAAGCTGTATTAGAGGAATAGTAATAGAGGGAGAGCCCTGGAAGAGTGGCAGATTACAACACGCATCAAGATAGTTGCATGCATCTGTTATACTCACACCACCATAGCCAGAAGCATTATGCTAACAGAGGTAGCATGTTGGACACAATGCTGTCAGGAACATCATGTCATGAACAGACAAATGTTTATGCTAGCATAAGCAGCATTACAGCAATGTAAGGAAAAGTAGCAGAGTGATTACATGAACCCCTGTAAGCGGATAACTTGACCCAATCTGGTGGCAAATTACCCTGAAATTATCCAGTATTAAAACTATACTGGAATAAGATGCACTGGTTTAGGTTTAATCTCTCTGCACCCATCCTGGGGTAGCTGTTTGCTGGAGGCCTAGTGGTGAGGTGCTATAATAGCGTTTCCTGAGTATAGCTACCCTGGAATAGCTGCTGGCCTGTCTGTGGTTTATACACTGTGATCAAGAAATGTCAGTTATATTTGGTTATATATGAATCTGTCCATGTCCAAAGTAATGGAAATTCCACGTCCTGTTACCATTTGGACCCAGATCCTGCCCCTCCCTCCCCCCTCCCCCCACTCTTTCCTTTGTCACCAATACTAGAAGCAAAATTTTTAATTCTGACTCAGAGAAGGACTAGATTTAGTCTCCCCCTTGCAAACTGGTCCAATTTGTGAGGGAGGAGGCAGAGAGGAAATAAACAGGATCCCCACTTGATGCAGGGGCACTCTCGATCATCACTGCAGTGAAACACAGCTGTAACAAGGGTGTGTTTCCGCCTAGGGTTTCTGGTCCCTAGCAGGGGGCCCTGCTTTGCCAGAATGCTGCTGCCCAGTCCCGCCTGCTGCCTGCGCCCCAGCCTCTGCTTGGTGCCATGTTTCTCTGTGCATATGTGCATGCGTGTTGCTTTTGGCCGCATCTTTACTTCTTGCTGCTGAGTCGATCATCTTCACTTTTCCTTTTTGCTAGTGGACAAGTGGGGCGCTGAGGAGGTTGCAGCTTGGCTGGACGTGCTTGGTTTAGGGGAATACAAAGACATTTTTATCCGCCATGACATCCAGGGCTCAGAGCTGATCCTGCTGGAGAGAAGAGACTTGAAGGTACTCGCATGACCTGCTTTTCTGATCATGATGGGCCCCAGGGCTTGCCTGCACTTGCCTGTGCTGCAGCTCCCACTGACTGGATTGGGAGCTGTAGGGGTGCAATGGAGGGCAGCTTGCAGCCTGATTAGCACAGCCCGGTGCCTGGCATAACTATCCCGCTGCCTAGTACGCAACACACAGGATCATAGGCCATTTTGGAGGGGCATTTGCAGGGCATCATTTGCATGCTCTACCCTGTTGCCTGGGTCATGGCACTGCACTTGAATACTCCGGCTGGCCTGTGCTTGCATGCTGTACCCAGCATCCATCCTAAGCAGCAAGTGGTTTGCACTATTCTGTAGGACCTGTTGCAGCAGGTGCTGCTGGGCTGTCAGGATACAGACTCTTTGAGGACTTGGGAACCTATAACTCTTCTGTGCTGCAGTTTCTGTCCACAGCAATAGGGACTTGCTGGGAACTTGGAGACTGGTGCCCTCTGGTGTCTTTTGAGAGACTGTGAGATGAAAGGGTCAGAACCATCACTTCCCTCTTCCCCACCTGGGAATGGGCTGTTCCTGTCTGCAGGCCCTGATCCAAAGCATCCTCTGCATTCAGACCAAGGTTGGGGGCCAGGACCCAGAGCCTCCCTCCCCCAGGACACTTATAGCATTAGGGTTCAGTCTTTCCTGTCTGGAAGCCTTGGGGCAACTAAGGGCAGTGAGCTGGATTGTGTGTGCTTTTGTTGGGCGGGTGGGGTGGGGGGGCTGAGCAGGGAACAGTCCCTGTCACTGCTGATGCCAGTCACCCTCCTTGCTGCCAGGTGGGCTGCTGAGACAGCATGTTGCTAAGGAGTTAGCTGACGCACAGAACTGCTGTGTGGGGGGTTTTGGCACTTCCAGGTTTGGGCTTTGTACAAATCAAAATTTGAAAAATGTATTTTAACCCCCTCCCTCCACACTGAAATTCTAGAAGCAAATTGTGTGGAATCCAGGGGAGCTTTCATTTTATATTTTTTTAAAATATGTTTCAGTCTGTATTTTAATGTTTGGGTTTTTTTCCTGGTGCCCTTTATGCACTGCAGAGTAGTCTTTGGATGTGACTACTTACCTCAGACAGCAGTGTCTTGCTCTCAATCCCTCTGTTACCCATGTAGGATCAAATGATGTAGTCTGACATGTGGAAGCTCTAAGCTAGGAAAGACAGCCACCAAATCCCCAGGAGTCAGGGGCTTTGACCATCTGACCCCTGTGCATTTATGTGTTTTGAAATTATGCTGTTGTCAGCTTTTCTCACATCAAATATTTTTCAGCGTGTCAAAACCCAACCGACCTCCCACCCACACACCAGGTTTAGCAAAATGGCACTTTTTAATGGGAAGCCTCTGGCCAAAGCTTTCCAGCCATCTTTCCTGGCTCCATGCTCATGCCAGGACATATGCCTAGCTGTTGGCCTTCCTACTCAGCTTCCAAGGACTGGGCTGTGGGGATGGACACTGAGGAGGTTTTGGCACTCCCCTGCTTTCTGTATTGCTCCACATGAGCCTTGAGTTGGGGTCAGCTTGCCAACCATCCCCAGTCCTGCTCCCAGCTATTATGGGCTCTCAAGCAGACATTAAAAGCCTTGCCAATGGTCCTTCTCTCCTCAAGGCCTGGAGTCCTGTCAGCGTAGCTCTCCTCAGGATGAAGCCAGCTGCAGCCCTCTGGAGTCCACGTAATGAAAACAGAGCAGCAGTTTTCAACCTGGGCTCAAGAGTACTAGCAAGAGACAGGAGTGAATTACCTGGCTTAGAGCTAGCAGCAGGCTGTATAGCTCCTGCTCACCTTCAGGCCTTCCCCTTCCTCACCCCTCTGCCCCTTGCCAGACCCCTCCATTATTCAAACTTGCTTATTCAAACTTGCCCATGGCTCCCAGCAAAAATACGATCACATCTGGAGCAGACTGGGACTAGAGGGGTGAGAGGTTGTGGGGAATGGAATCACAGTGCCAAGGTAAGGTTAGAGCCATGGGCAAGCCATGGGTTACAAGCAGCCAGGGTGCTTGATGCTCCAGATACTTCAGTGAAGGGTCACAATTTGAGACCCATCACTGTCAGGCACAGTTTCATTCACTGCCCCCCTGCTCCATAGCAGGTTGCTTTTCAGCCATAGTGGGTGGGGTGTGAGTACCAGGCTTTCTCTGGAGCACCGTTTCCTGGTGGTATTAGCCAGGAAGTCTGAGCCATTCAGGGAACATGCTCCTCCTGCCTGAGGACCTCATTTAAAGAATGCCAGCCTCACTCAGCCCTGCTTCTCCCTGCCCTTTGTCTGCCCAGTACTGTTCCCACCTGAGGCTTGTAGCCAAACACCCTGAGAGTAGTGATGGAATGACACCAGTCACAGAGGAGCCAGTGGAGCCTGGGCCTGGATGCTGCGACATCCAATTTTTATTTCTGCTACTGCCACAGACACCTTCTGTCTTATTTCTCCCTCAGTGCAGTGTGGGTAATATGGCTGCCTTGCTAGGGGGGCTGCAAGGTTGAATTACACCATACCTATAAAGCAGGGGCCTCAAACTCAGATAACTTGGTTGGCCAAATTCAGACTGTGGGGCTTCTCATGCATGGGGCATTTGTACACATGGCTGCACCGCACTTTTAAAAGCACCTGGCGCTGCGTCACATATATTTGTATAAATGACGAAATGCTTGTTAGCACTGAAAAAATGGCAGCAGTGCACTTTTGAACTAAAATGCATCAAAAGTGTTTTAGTTCTAAAGTACACCACCACCATTTTCTCAGTGCTGATGTGCATTTCACCATTTATACAAATGGATGTGATGCAGTGCCAGATGCATCAGCTCACATGCAGAGCAGACTCGATTAATTCAGTGCATTGGAGCAGACAAATGTATGTATATAAATGAGAGCTGCTATGCTGATGTAGCCAGCACCCAATGCTTAACGTCACCCATGCCCCTCTCCCTCCCCCCCATACTGCTATTGATTTGCATGCCAAATGGTGATGCAAAACTGGACATTCTGGGGTGAGGGGAGGGGTGGGGGGAACATGAAACCATTGGGTACTTGCTGTCCCAGCACAGTGGCTCTGGAAGCCAGTGGTAACTCCTGTGGGCTGGATCCAGAGGTGAACTGACTGCCAGAAGCCCTGTGGCCCAGATGACCTACCTCAGCAGGCCAGATACCGTTGAACAAGCTTTAATTAAAGAACCCCTGCTACCATTTTGAAGTGCAGGGACGCTGATACGCAAGATATGGAGGCTGGCTGGAGCACAGTAATTACCGTGCTCCAACAAACTCAGTTAATCGAGTCTGCTCCTATGCACTGCAATTACAGTGCATTGGAGCAGCCTCTCAGCTCATATACAGGCACCCTCTGTTGTGAGGTACTAGAAGAAAGTGAATTAGCCTGTCTTAATGGGTATTAACTAAAGAGCATGGGTTTTTTTTAGTGATGGTTTAATGCACATTAAAATAGGCTAATGTGCATTAAAGCACACATGTAGATACGCTCCTTAGTACAAAGAGCAGATCTGTGCTCCTTAGTCCAAAGAGCAGATCTGCTCTACAAACCACCCCTGAGCCCAGCACTTCTCCCACTGCACACATCTGAGCCAGATCAATAACTGGAGTGGCCAAAATAAAGCTTCAGAAGTTTTACCCATCCACCCAAGAGAGCTTCTTGGCTCTGAGGGAAGGAGCTGGCTTTGCAGAATGAGCTCTGCTATCTCAGTGCCTGTAGCAGGGCAGATTGTGCTCTAACCTCTCTTTGAGGACACAAAGGAGGGGAGGAGATCATGGGCATACTCAGGGAACACTGTGATTTGGCTCATGTGGTCTGTGCTTGCACAGGTCACTGAAACACCAGCTAGAAAGAGTCCAGCTCAGCTTTTGTATCCCAAAGGGAGGCTTCTAAGGTAGCAATGGAAAAACAGGCCCCCATCAGTAGCTTTTCAAAGTAGAACTACCCTTTTAAATATGAAATGTTTTTGCTTTTGCTGATCCACTCATAGTTGGGCTGGATGGAGCAGGATTTGTTGCCTCTGAGAAGCCTGTCGTGCTGAGATCACTTTTAGCCTTCTTGGGATAGAGCTTCAGAAACGAGGCCCTTGTTCCTGTCTGTTCATAGCAAGAGCTGATTCTCAGCCTGTGGACTGTGTTGGGGAGGCGGGTTACAAGGGAAGTGCAAGCACATATCTGGCAAAAAATCCAGCAGGTTGGTTTTTGCTACTGCAGCCTTTTCCTGGCTGTATTGCTGAAATGTTGCTGTGTTTTGTGTACCCTGCTTAGTTGGAAGTCTGGCAGAGTGGGTGGCTAAGATTGCATTAGGCACAGAGTTCATGTATGTGATGTCTGTATTAACAACTGGACTTCCTCCTGGCACAGAGCAGCTGTAGGCTCAGACTTCCCTTCAAGGGCATGCTTATCTGACATGCTTCTTCCTCTCACCTTTCTTTTTTTCTTTTTAAGGACCTTGGGATAACAAAAGTGGGCCATATGAAGAGGATTCTCCAGGGAATTAAAGAGATCAGTAGCCACCTCTAGAGACACTGAGAAAGCAAAACAAAATGGATTGCTGGGGAAAGTCCAAACTCTAGGTGGGATGCCTACAGCCCTCAGCCTAGGACCAGCATTCCACAACTGTAAACACGCAGACAGACGTCTGTTCTTGTGCGCGTTTGTCCCTGGTATGAGCAGTGTCACAGCAAGTGGCCCAGACCAGGAGGCTGTGGAACCCTCACACTAGAACACTTTTCGTCAGCGCCCCAAAGCAGCCCATGGTGGACGTTACATTTCCATGCTCGCCAAAGATGATTGGTTTGTGCGCACATGTGTGTTCCCTTTATGTTCTGGGTTTCTGTGCTTGAATGGCTTCTGTTCAGCAGTTCATCTCCATGCATACCTCTGACTTGGAAGCAAGAACCCACCACAATAGGTATGGTTTGGGGTCCTCCGGCTTTTTGGAGCAGCTCTTATCCATTTAGCTGGCTAATTCTGGGCAAAGCTGCTAAAGATACTACAGTGCTAAAAAGGCAAGTAGCGCAATGTCAAGTGAAAATGAGCTGTCTGTGAAATGGATTGATCTGTGAAATCATGATGCCAGCTGAGGCCCTAAGGACATACGCATTATAGACTGAATGCTCTCTGAACCTAGGCACCTTCATGTCCTACTTCCTAAAAGCCCCATAACTTTTCTACTCATCGTTCCAAAGCTGTGAGCCTTGTTGGACTAAGAAGCAGAGTACACTCCACACCCCATTCCGGAAGAGTACATTCTTGGTTTGGCAGTCCTCACTTTACCGAGCATGGTCCAAAGGGAGCTCAGACCAGCGTCATGCATCTGTACAGTTTCCAAAGCCAGGCAGGAGTCTAGTTCTGGCTAGGGTCGTTCAAGAAGCTCTGAATTGTGCACAGCTTTGTGAAGCATTGGATTTTATGTGGAGAGCAACAGACCTTGCTTCCTGGCTGTTAAGTGCTTGCTGAGCTTTCTTTTCTCCTTGGTTTGGCTGTTTGAAGTTAGAGAAGCAGAGACAATAGAACTGCCTGCATAGGCACATCAGCTCAGAAAATAACATTGTTTCTCCCACTGCGAAGATCGAGACTGTTGGGTTCCAAAACCGGAGGCTAATCCTAGGAGACTGTGTATCCCCAACTCCCTTGGAGGTCAGCAAGTGATAGAGACCTGGTTAACATCCCTGAACACCTGCTAGGCTCACGCCCTTGTTTCCATATTTGTCCAGAATCTTCTATTGTCCATCTGACGTGAGGGTGGCTGATATCTTCTGCCATTTTGCACTATTCAGACAGCTCTGTTAAGTGGAAAATGGCTCCCTGGATTTCAAACCTGTTAAGAGACATCCACCCACCTTGAGCCATGTGGCAGTAGGGGGATGGGTCTTTGCAGACATCAGCGCCGTGACAGGGCTCACACGGGCTGGAGAACTGTCCGACATTTCAGCATGGAGACTCTGAACATTGTTCCTATTGAACTATGCCAAAAAAGATCCACTCCCACATTCCAGCCATAGAATTTACAACTTATTTAAACTCTGTAAATAGTTTCTGAGAGAGAAGATATTTATTTCAGCAAGTTGTTAAAAGCTTAATTTATTCTATTCTGGGCTGAACTGGATTGGTTTGGTGCAGAACATGTTCAGTCCCACCCTGCCTCTGGCAATGACAGGCCACTGTGCTTCTTCCACTACCACTCACACTGCACCCACCAGCCACAAAACCTTTCCCTTTTGGTTGGCACTTTGCTGAGAAAAAATGTCCTGCTCAATCAACTAAGCATCCCCACAGTCCTCAAAACAGTGCTGCAGTAGGCACAGCCAAGTGTGAGAGCAGGGCAAAATGTTTCAGCTTTCCAAAAATGACTTCAAAAGACAGTCAATTTTTGTGCAGGGGTTGATGGTATTTTTGCTTCAGCGCTACCATTAACTCATTGCTATGGCTCTAAGGGTCATAGTTTCATAGTTTCTAGGTCCATTGCACCTTCCCCATTGCCTGGAAAGGGAGAGAGAAAAATCATTTTGAAAGCCAAGTCCACATTTTCAAGCAGTTGCCTGCTTGTGGTGTGTGGCTGGAGAGGCCTGGTGTCTTGTTTTTTTTCCAGAGGGCCTGAGCCATTATAACTCCTGCTCTCCTCAGCTGGTGGCATGGGTGCCTACTGCTTGTGAAACTCAAACTTAAGGTGTCTCTCATTAAGCACCCATAACAGGTGGCCTCCTTCTGAAGATGTCAGCTATAGCATTTGCACTAAAGCTTCCACGTGTTAGTCACAGGGCTCTCATGCAATCTCGAGCTTTGTCCTGAAGGGCTGGTTCTTTTGGAGATGACATGTGGGCTGTGGCTGACTAATTCACTGGCAATGCTAGTCCCAGATGGCAGTAGCATTGGTGCAGCATTTTCTGTAGTAACATCTTGGCCTTGTATATAATTCTGTATGAGCTGCTCAGTGCTGATATGTTCTGCTGCAGGACCATATGGTCCCTGGTGGCTGCAGGCTGAGAGGTGGTAAAAGCAAATGAACAAAGGGGCCAGAGCTGCCACAGAGGTTGGTTTGGGAGACAGTTTGCTCCCACCTGCCTCACTGGCCCAGGCTGCCATCACTTCTTTATTAAGCCAACTGTGTGGCCTTTGCACATGCCTCTAGGATCCTGACCAGGGGGTGACTGGAGCCAAACCCTCCCAGCCTCAGCAATGCTGCTGTTACTACAAGGTATAAACACAGTAGCCATGGACATGTTGGAGGCAGGAGGACCTGTGTGTTAATGACAGCAGACGCACAGCCTTGCACCAAATCACTTACAAATGTACTATAAGAGCCTGGGTGCTTGGGCTACTGCTCCTTACAGAAATGATTTTAGGCCCAGTCCTTGGGGCTTTGATTTGTAAATTTGTTTCCCAAGATTCTTTTGCTGCATTGGGCCCCATGTGAGCCTGAGCCTGTGCCATGTGTGGGTGAGGCTGGGGTGTGTGTATAGTGAGACATCTGGTCCAAGCCGTCCCCAGGTGGCTGGGTGCACCTGCCCCTGGAATAGGCTAGCAGCCCTGAAGCGCTCAACCCTCATGCTGTGACCTGTGAAGCAATGGGTGCTTTGTCTTGTACATGAAGTCAAGGGGCGGGAGGGTGTAAATAGAGGGTGGGGCTTTGTTTTCAGTGACCTTTTTCCAGGAGGCAGTTGCTGGCCCTTGTGATCCTAGAGCTGCAGGGAGGGGAATAGTGCCTGGGGTTGGGGGAAGGCTGGACTGCTGTGGATGCTCATAGTGCGCTCTACTCCCCTACCCTTCTGCCCTAAGCACCATTCCCAGACCTATTCCAGTGACCTGGTATGGGCAGTCCCTCCTCCCCCTTTGCAGTCATCCACACTGGTGCAAAATGAGCCTAAAACCAGCCAGCAGTGACTACGCAGAGTGCAGGATAATGGAGACTGCAGGCCAGGCACTGGGGGCAAGGGATTCAGAGCTTTTATTCTTGGTGGAAGCAGTGTGCAGAGGGCTGTTTCCTCCTGCTTCAACCCCCATCCTGCAGGACAGGTCAGAGACTAAAGGGCATTAACTGCTGCTCCCTTCAGGCTGCTGCATTCTACTGGACAGCGCAATGGTGCCGCTGCCAGCAGGAATCAGCTGCACACGGGCAGAGCTTGCCTGGGCCAGCCCTTTGCTCTGATAGTTCCAGCTTTGGGGGGCCCTGCCTTTCCCTAGCTGGGAGGCCAGAACTATAAACTGCCCAGTTTTGTTTTAAAAGGGAGTTGACCTGTGCCAAGTGTTGGCAAGAACAGCTCCTTCCTTGCTGTAAATTAAGCTATGCCAACATAAGGGTTTGTTCCCCACTCTCAACACCGTCCCCAGCTGCCCCAGGACTGAGATGGAGCGTAACTGGGCTGCTCTGCTCTGCTGCCAAATTCACCAGTACTCTGGGGCACTTGTGAAAGCTTTTTTTGTTGCTTTGTGTTAGCTTCTGTTCTTCCATGGGTCCGGGAAGAGGAGCTCAGCTGAGGGAAGCAGCAGTAGCTGAGGCAACTGGAAACCCTGTCAACCTGCCCTACCATTGTGCTTGATTGTGTCTTGGCCTCTTCTGTAGTTGATGGGTGAATGTAATGCAGTGGCTGGTGCGTGTGCTCTG